CTTCTCTTAATGGAGAAAGGGTCTTGCTCTGTAGTTTAGACTGTCCTCGAACTTGGGCCAGTCCTCCTTCCTTTTGAGTGCTGGGTTTTTTTTAAACTCTTAATTTTTGTTTCAGATAGTCTTGCAGAGTTGCCCAGTCTGGTCTTGAATTTGTAATCCTCCTATTTTAGCTTCTCGATTATTTGGAATTACAGGCTAAGTCTTTTCTAATTTCTGTGAGCAATATTTTTTTTTCAGTGTACAGGATTTTCACTTTCTTGATTCAGACTTATTTCTGTAGATGCAAGTTATAAATGAGATTTTTTTAAAAATATCCTTTTGGGTTACTTATGGCTGGTGCATAGAAATAAACCTGAACATTAGCTCTAGTAGGTTTCTTTGAAATTTTCCATATATAGGATCATATCATCTGTGAATAAAGATAAATGATATTTCTTCCTCCCATCAATTAGTATTCCTTTTATTTATTGCCTAATTGTACTGCCTAGAAACTTCCAGTACACTCTTAGATAGCTGTGGTGAAAGTGTCCTTGTCTTCTTCTTCCTGATCTTAGGGGAAAAGCTTCATTTTTTCACTGTTCAGTGTGATGTTAGTTGTGAGTTTTTCGTAAATGCTTTTTATCTTGTTAAGATAGTTTCCTTCTCATAATTTTCTGAGGTTTGCTTGGTTTTTTTTTTTTTAATCATGAAAGAGGATTGGAATTTGTCAAACATATTCCATCAATTAAGATGCTCGTTTTAAAATACTTTTTTTTTTTTTTTTTTGGTACTGGGGATCAAACTGAGGACCTTGCCCTTTCAAGGCAGGCAGTGACACCACCACCCTGGCCCTAAAATATTTCTCAATGCAAATCATTTCATGCAGTTCATTCCATTACCCAGCAGTTTTATTTATGTATATTTTAAACTCTGAACTAAATAATATACTTGGGGCTCATTTTATGTTTATGGTCAGTCTGCTCAGTGTTAAAGTAGGTAAAACAATGAATCCCACAGAATGGCCACATCCTAATCTCTGAAACCTTTGTAAATATTATAGGTTGTATTAGGTTGCATGTCAAAGAGTAATTAGGTTGCTAATCACCTAACCTTAAAACAGGCAAATTATTTAGGTGTCTGTCTCAGTGGGCCAGTATAATCACAAGGTCTTTACAGGCAAGAGGAGGAGGCAAAAAAATGAGTTAGAGAAAATGTGACTCTGGAAGAAAGGCTAAGTAGAGTGAAACAGTGCTTTGAACATAGGTAAAGGATTGTCTTTTTTCAGGAGTGAGGGTGCTGAGGATTGAATGCATGGCCTTATGCAAACTTGGTAAGTGCTTTAACACCTAGCTATCTCCACGGCCCCCTTTTTTAAAACTCTGAGACAGGTCCTTGCTAAGTTGTGCAGGGTATTCTTTCATCAGCCTTCTGAATAGCTGTGATTACAGGCATATGCCACCATGCTTTCTTGGCAAAGAATAGTCTTTAGTAACACAAGGAAGGTTTTCTTCCCGGGAACCACCAAAACAGGTGATTTTGGATTTGTGAGATTTCAACCTACAGAAATGTAAATAATGAATTTTTGTTGTTTTATGCCCAAGAAGTTTTTGGTAATTTGTTGCAGTGACAGTGGAAGACAAATACAGTTATCCAAAGATATTTTATTCTACCATTTATGATGTTGGTTTGTTTCTCCAAACTAAAGTTGCTCTAGGTTGTTAAAATTGTATTATTAAATAAAAGCCCATCTTAAAGCATCCACAACCACAAAGCCTTTTGTTTTTCTTCTTCCACCTCACCTCCCCTGAATCCTCTGCCCAAATATTCCTCCTAATCTGTCTCTTCTGTTATACTTTTTTTTTTTTGGTGGTATCCGGATTGAACTCAAGACCTTGGGCTTGCAAGGTGCTCACTGAGCCAAATTCCTGGCTGTCTTCTGTTATACTTTTTTACCTTCCTTTGGTTTCTAATATTTCTAATAGAGTTTTAAAATCCAATATTTGGTGTTTATTTTATTAATATTTTATTCTTTAAAAATTCTATTTTATGTATATGTGTATTGTGTAAATGTGGGTTGCATATGTAAGATTTTGGTACTTTGTGTTGTAATACATTTAATTTTTTAAAATGTTTTTTCTTACATTTTAGACTGTCAAGAGAAGTGACTATAATTTACTCAACCTTGTCTTCTCTGTTCAATAGATCATCTTAGAGATTGGTCCAAATGAATCTTTGTAAAAAAATGTTTTAAACTGTGAATTTGAACATGAAAATAATTGTTTTCTCCCTTATGGAAAAGAAACAGGATTCTAGGAACAAAAGAAATTTAAATTTAAACAGAACTAATGTATCTTTCTGTGTATCCCTTTTGGATATTTTAATGAATGTGATATCTGTATCTTATAGAATGGAGATGTATGCATTTCGATTCTTCATCCACCTGTTGATGACCCACAGAGTGGAGAACTGCCTTCAGAAAGGTGGAATCCTACTCAGAATGTGAGGTAAGGTGTTAATAAGGAGAAAATGCTTTTTTGTTGTTTTTTTCTAGTACCAGAGATCAAACTCAGGACCTTGCACTTGCCAGGTAGGCACAATAACACTGAGCTAAATCCCCAGCCCTTGCTTTGTCTTTTGAAGGAAGGGTCTGGCTATGTTGCTGAAGCTGGCTTTCAATTCCTACGCTCAAGTAATCTGTCTCACCCTCCCCCAAGTACCTAGAACTAGAGGCACATACCACCTGAGTAAATGGTTTTTGTGTGTCTTGGAATCTCTAGTAAAGTATGATTGCATATTGTTTTTTAACCAATGCAAAAGAATCATTCTTATATTTAGTGGTTTTATCTTCAGGTTAAGGAGCATGTATGCATCATTTCAAACTTACTGTATTTACTGAGCAATAATGCATTTTCCTATGCTCACTATGGAGGAAGTTTTCAAGCCTGAGTTATTCCTCTTACAGTATTTAAATTTGGCCTGGCTTTTTTGAATCCTATGACTTCTGTGTTTAAATTGCTTCTCTTTTTTTTTTTTTTTTTTTTTG